AGAGAGACAGAGCATGAGCAGGGGAGGGGCCGAGAGACAGGGAGTCACAGAATCGGAAGCAGGCACCAGGCTCTGAACTGTTAGCACAGAGCCCGACGCGGGGCTCGAACTCACAAACCGTGAGATCATGAGCTGAGCCAAAGTTGGACGCTTAACCGAGGGAGCCACCCAGGTGCCCCTGGATAATGTGTTTACTGCACGTTTGCTGAGAATGGTCTCTGCCTGAGGGGTTCTGGAGCTCAAACGACTGGCTGGGACTGGTTGGCGGGGCTAATTTCTAGGGGGCTGGATGGTCCTAGTAACAACCCATCCCAGGGGGCACTTGCTAACTGTCTTCTTCTGAGGGTCTCACCCTCCTGATGGCTCCGCAGAACAGAGCTTAAAGGAATCGTCCAAGTTCACCCACAGGAAAAGGAGACAGACTGGGAACCTGAACCCCAGCAGGCCGGTTCTAACGCCTCTCATTTTGGAAGACGCTACAGAATTAGCCAAACATCAAAGTGCACCTGGGGAAATCTGAGGGCCCACTTACCAGTATCAGTCTGATTTCTCTGCACACAAGGACCCTGTGAGCACCTTCGCTCCGGCCTCAGCGGATGACTGCGGGGGGTCCCCCACATCCGCTTGACGGAGACGGAGAAATCGGACGACTTCCAAAGGCTCCTGCCCAACACCGGGGTCCTCAACATCTTCAAACTGCTCCCCTCAGAGCCCCGTAAACACAGGGTGATCTTCCTACCAAAGCTCTCACTTTGGTCTGGACGATCGTGGAACGGGGTTAGCCTACCTCTTTTTGTAGAAACTCACCCAACCCCCTGATCCTGAAGGTTAAATTTCAACCCGCGCCTGCCCCTGCTTCTGGACGATGCTTAGTTTGGCATAGGGGTGGGTGCCCCTCGACAGACCTGTGGCCTTCACCGTGGCCGGCCCCTCGGTTCGCTTTGATCTGGTAAACAGCAGAGTGTGCCGGGGAGTCAGGAGCACACAGTGGAGAGCGCACTGCTCGTCCTGGCGAAGAGGGCAAGAGGCAAATAGGAGAGAGCAAAGGCCTTGTTCCTGGATGTTGACCCCTAGTTTGGAGCCGTGTCGTATGCATGTAGGGCCAGGCACAAAGCCGTGCTGTGTGTATGTGGAGGGAGTGGCAGGTTCCGGAGTGCAGGGACAGGAATTTGGCAAAGCACTGCCGAGGTGGAGGGGCAGGCGGGCAGGTGACCCCTCTCTGCCAGGAACGAAGAGACGTGACCTGATACAAATTTGTTCTGCCTAAACTAACGTCCCGGCTGGCCCAGAGCGCTCCCAGGTCACCGTGTCAGCATGGATCCTAATGCCCCCCTTTTCATGCACATAGAATCCTGGACTCTTAGATCTGGAAAACCCCACAGAACAGGGGTTTGGAACCTTGGGTCCACGTGTGGGTTCCCAAGAACCCTGTTGGTCACGTGCACAGAATTTTGACCTGGTCTCTGGTGGCCCCTGTGTCTGCCTGCCTTCCTTGCAACTCTGGGATACACGTGGTTTTCTTCCACAGAGGCATTTTGCAAGGGTACGTACCCTTGGGTAGCTTCATTCATTCATTCACTCATTCATTCATTGACTTCTGCCCCAGTTCCCTCCTCTGTAAGGTAGGGAAATAATAGCACTAACTCCGCTATGTTGCCCTCAGGGTTTAACGAATCCATCACTCACGCACTTAGGAGAGAGGTATTTCTGTTACCGATGCCCAGGTCAGCCTTCCAGGCGTTCTAGTCGTTGGCTGAGCCCTGAAGGAACGCGGGTTTCCCGGGCATTGGGGACCCTGTCAGCCAGCACTCCGTAGCCCTTTTGCTACATAGCCCTTTTGCTGAGCCCTTTGCTCTGAAGGGCATGCCCTTGGCCGTGCTCAGCTACTCGGCCGTCCTCAGCCAGCCTATTTGAGGTAGAACGCCACACTGGCTGTCCCCGTGGTCCTGGGGTCTCCCTGTCCTTCCTGTAGCCACACGACAGAGCTCTGCTTTATCTAGAAAATACTGCCAACTGAGCCTGCCCCACGCAACCCTCCCAGCCGACTCAAACATCAGTTCAGCCACTATTACAGTAGAAACTGAAATGTCTGCCATCAAAAGAGATAGAGAAGCCATTTACATGCATGTTATGAAAAATGTTTCAAGTAGGTCAAAGGTGAAAAATGAATGCCTCTATCTTTTTGTGAACTGCGCTCTGATAGCAGTTTCTTGTGGCTCTTTCTGGAAATCTCCACGACATAAAATTGTCTCTCTTTCTCTCACTATTTTTAATACTGGAGATAATCATATCCTATGTAAAGGGTATATATGTGTATGTATGTATGTATATAGATACAGATGTAGTCACTTGATAATTATCATGAATAAGCTTTTACATCCGTGCTTTTTGCTTGTTTTTTTTGAACTATAGAATACTCTGTGAAAAGATATACCATAATTCATCAAATCACTCCCTTTACAGATGGCCTATTTAAAAATTTTTTTTTTTTTCTCAACGTTTTTATTTATTTTTGGGACAGAGAGACAGAGCACGAAACATGTGGGGAGGGAGATTGCAGAGAGAGGGAGACAGAACGAAACGTCAGGCTCGAATGGAGCCATCAAAGCCCAGAGCCCCATGCGGCGATGGGGCTCAGTGAACTCCCCGGACATGAGATCGTGACCTGGCTGAAGTCAGATGCTTAACCGACTGCGCCACTCAGGCGCCCCAGATGGCCTATTTTTTTAATTTAACGTTTATTTATTTTGAGAGAGAGAGAGAGAGAGAGAGACAGACAGACAGAGACAGTGTGAGTTGGGGAGGGTCAGAGACAGAGGAAGAACGCCTGGCTGCAGAATCCCAAACGGCCTGTCAGCCAAACTCAAATCAGCACCAGAGCCTGACACGGGGCTTGAACCCATGAACCGTGAGATCATGACCCAAGCCAAGGTTGGACACTTAACCGACTGAGCCACCCAGGCGCCCCTATTTTTTTTTTTGGTCTTATAAATGACACTGCATGAACATCTTTGGAACTCCCATTTTTGACAACCGTGGGTCCGAGGACAAATGTATTAAAATAGTTGATACAAGTGCCAACTTACTCTCTTGGGGGAGCTATTGTTCAATTCTCACACCCGCCACTGGTATTTTGAGCCAAAGAACCTCATGTTTATCCAAACCAACGCCTTCTAATTCCTTAGTATCTCCTTTGCACATAAAACACCAATCAGTGGCCTTCATAGGATGTGTTGAAATTATCTGCCGGGACTGAACGTTTCTCATGGGAGTCGCCGATAGTTTATTTTGCAATCGGGCTGGCCGGCAGCCAGTGCCAAGATATTTGGTTGAACATTATCCTGAATGTTTCAGTGTAGATGTGTTTTTTCTTTTTAATGTTTATTTTTGGGAGACAGAGACAGAGCACGAATGGGGGAAGGGCAGAGAGAGAGGGAGACACAGAATCTGAAGCAGTTTCCAGGCTCTGAGCTGTCAGCACAGAGCCTGAAGTGGGGCTCGAACGGATGGATCGCGAGATCATGACCTGAGCCAAAGTTGGACGCTCAACTGACTGAGCCATCTAGGCGCCCTTCAGTGTAGACATTTTTTGGATGTGATTAACATTTAAGTCAGTGGACATGCTTCACTGTGGGCGGGCCTCATCCAATCAGTTGAAGGCCTGAATAGAACAAAGACTGACCTCCCCTGAGCAAGAGGGAATTCTGCCAGAGTCTCCCTTTGGGCTCTGCAGGTCTCCCCCAGGTCTCCGGCCTGCTGCTTCTCCCCCCCATCAGATTTTGGACTTGGCTAAGCCTCTCAGTCACGTGAGCCAACTCCAGACTGTCCTTCAAAATGCAGGAAGAAAAGATAGGAATTTCTATCGTTATTTCCTCTCTCACTGGTCATAACTTCTATTTTACATGTTTAATAGAGCACACAGTAATAGTACCTAACACACAGGAATGATTTATTCGTAAATACATATGTGTTGGAGGACCACGCCAAAAGCTTTTTATAGAGCAGACTGTGTGATCAAAGTGTGGAGCTCGCTCTTGTGTGAGACGCCTCGAATTTCTTGGCATCACTCTCTCCAAAGAGGGCTTTATTCTTACGTGATAGAAATTCACATTCATTCCTAAATGCAACTGAATGCTCTCCAAAGTACTTTAAGATCTCCAAATGATACATACGCTGTCCATAAAGAAATTCTGTTCTAGTTGGGGAAAAAAAAAAAAAGAAGGAAATAGGAAAAAATGCTGATTGGACAAAAATCTTGCAAATACATGCGAGTTTCCACGTGCATTTTGTCCACAGTAATCTCTTTTGTTCTCCGGGGATTTTTTTTTTTATGGTACAATTTTGGGCACACGCTTTTATTGATTTTATGGATTTGTAAACCTGTTTCCGTGACCTGAGCAGCCAAGGGGATGCTTTGTAGTGGAAATCTCTTGTTCACAAGGATGTTGAAACTCAGCAGTGCTATTGAGATATTCACCACCTGCCTGGCTTAATTACACCATCTCCTGAGTCAAATGAAAATCAATGGATCAAAGGTGCCTGGGAGCCCAAGAGAAACACTTTCTCCTCTTTGTTGAAACATACTCAACCTTTCCTTCTGGAAAGTAGAAATCAACAGCTTCCGGGAGAAAAGAAACCACCATTGGACAGACATCAATGTTGACACCACTGCTCACATGGGCTTGGGTGCCGCTTTTGGGTCTCGTGAGAGCCCTGGGACACTCGTGCTTGGGGCAGATGCCGTGTATGCGTGCCTGACACCCGGCCCCCTCCCTCTGATAACATCACCCGAGTCTTCCCGGGGACACTAGCCCTCCCCCACTGGCCATCCATGGGGCTCAGGTCAAGCTGACCCCATCCCTGACGTATCTCGGGTTTGGCCAACCAGAGGGAAGGTCATTTACAGGTAACCTGAACTGACCAATCAGTGTTAACTCCGGAAGTTTCGCTGCAATTATGGGGAAAGAGACTTAGACTGGTAAGGTGTGCACCGTGTGCAGTTGCTGGGAACTCTTCTTGAGACCGTGCTCAAGAACGGAGACAAAGTGAGCCCCGGGGCCGGAAGGCTGGAAAAGGAGAGAGGGACGGAGAGAGAGCGTGACAGAGTACATGACATTGCCTCAGCCAAGCAATTTCCACTCCCGTATCCTGAAATGCACTTCCAAACTTGTCACTTACGGAAATCAAGGAGTTCCTCTGATTGTATTCAGCCAGTTTACATTCCCCCGTGGCCCAAAGGGCGCTAACTTGTAGGCACTTGGGTCTCCGTCCTACAGACAAGGAACCGAAGCTCGGAGCAGTGACGCGCGCATTGTCTAAGCTCTCCCTCGCTGGAAATTGGCAGAGTCAGGGCTCAGGTACGGGGTCTTGGGCTCATTGTCTCATTGAGCCTTGCCTCGTGGCTGTTTGCTTCCACAGGCCCAACGTAAAGTGTATAATCCGTGCTTGCTCCGTTGCGGGGAATGGCCAGTCATCTATTCCAAATACTTACGTGGCGCGAGGAGAGTCTGGGTTGGAATAAAAAGGGTGCACATAAGTCCGTGCCCCAATTATCCTGTGCTCACTGACAAATGACTCCAAAACGTGGGGGCTGAAGACAACGTGCTTGGGCTCACACAACCGCCATCTGGGCAGGGCTCAGTAGAAAGTGCCTGTCTCTGCCCCAGGAGGCCACAGTTGAGACGGCCCA